GAGGGCTCCGGGAGCTGGGCACACCGAGGGCTCCGGGAGTTGGGCACACCGAGGGCTCCGGGAGTTGGGCACGCCGAGGGCTCCGGGAGCTGGGCACGCCGAGGGCTCCGGGAACTGGGCACAGCCAGGGCTCCGGGAGCTGGGCACACCGAGGGCTCGGGGAGCTGGGCACAGCCAGGGCTCCGGGAGCTGGGCACACCGAGGGCTCCAGCTTCAGCATCTCCTTCCCTCGTGCATTGGAAGCTGCTGCGGGTTCAGCGGCAGAGGGGCAGCAGTGGGGTCTGGCACGGGGTGGAGTGGCTGCTTCACACCCCCTGGCACCAAATCCTGCTGGTCCAGGCTCCGCTGGGATGGCAGGAGCTGGGATCCCACCCTGAAGTTAATGGGCACCCTGAGGTCCCTGCCTGGCTGTGGGTGGCAGCGAGGTGGGAGCTGGAACCAGCCTGGGCTTGGAGCCCCCCCTTTTCCTGGCAGCTCTCACCTGCCCAGGAAGGTTGGGAGCATCCTGCTACTGCCAGAGGCTCTGGCTGTGCCACCCCAAATCCTGCCCCCACCTGCACCTGGCAGCTCCAGGTGCTGCTCCTGTCCGCAGGAATGTGATGTTTCCTGGCAGGACACACAGCTGGGGCCACGCCATGCCCTCGTTCCTGCCCTGGAATTCCACAGCTGGATGGAGAGGCCATGAACATCTGGCAGGGGAGTCCAGCCCCAGTCCAAACGCTCTGATCCCAGCCTGGGATCCCCATTTTGGCACACCAGGGGCTTGCAGCCCTCGGACACGCCAAGCTCGGGCAGGACTGGGCAGGATCATCCCCCTGCCAGTTCAGCTGTCCCCTCACCCCGCTGAGGCAGCACAGAGTCCCCAACCCTGGCACTGGCAGAGAATGGGAAGTTACATTCAAGTGATGGACAATTTTCCTTTTTTTCTTTTTTTATTTAAAAACAACCCCCCCAAATAAAATAAAACAAAAAAATTTCTCCCCACCCCCCCCCCACCCCACAAAATAATAATCCGATTAAATAAAATGTGCAGTGAACATACCAATCAACACCTGTATGTGCGGTCCAACACAGTGCTTAAACAAAACCATAGACACAGGGGAGGGGGGCGGGCACGGGCGTCACTCCAAAAAATAATAATTAAAAAAAAAAAAAATCAACTTCTTGTCTCTTAATTATGTTCATATAAATATATCAAGGAAGGAGGGCGAGAGGAAGGGAGGGCGGGAGGAGAAGAGGCCCAGGGGAGTGCCCGGTGCCCACGGGAGCCCTACTGGGAGCTGGCCCGCTCCAGCACCCGCAGGTCGTAGTTCTTTTTGGCCACGCGCAGTTTGAAGCGGCTGAGGGAGTTGTTGAGGCGCAGGGAGGCGTTTTGGGCAGCCAGCGGGCTGGGGAACACGGCCACGATGGTGTATAAGGCAGCGAGGTCACTGTGCCTGCCGTTCTCCGGAGTCCCACTGTTGTCCCCGCCGCCGCCGTCCCCGCGCCGCCCCTGAGTCTCTTTGAGCCACTGGATTTTGGCACCGGCCATGGCGAGCTGCGTGAAGAGCTTGTCGGCCTCTGTCCGTGTGATGCCCTCGGGCAGGTCCGTCACCTCCAGCACCCGGCCCAGCACTGCAGGGAAGGAGCTGCGTGTCACCGGCCAGGTCCCAATGTCCCCAGCCAGGTCCCGGTGTCACCGGCCAGGTCCCGGTGTCAATGGCCAGGCCCTGGTGTCACCAGCCAGGTCCCAGTGTCACTGGCCAGGCCCTGATGTCACCGGCCAGGTCCCGGTGTCACCGGCCAGGTCCCGCTGTCCCCAGCCAGGTCCCGGTGTCACCGGCCAGGTCCCGCTGTCCCCAGCACCCTCCTGGCCTCTCCTGGGTCCGGGACACCGTGCAGTGCCCAGCTGCCCCCAGAGCAGGATCTGCTTTTGAAGCCCCCCAGAGCCCCCCTGCCCGCAGTGCCCCAGCCCAATCCCCGTGCCCACCGTGCTGGCTTTGCTGCAGGGGAGGTGTGGGTGTCCCCCAGTGTCCCCCAGCTGCAGGGACACCAAGCCCCCCTGGCACCCTTGGGACAGCTGGGCACCTCAGGCTCTCCCAGGGGCTCTGCCTGGTTTTCCTACCCCAAACCTCAGACCCCAGGACTGGGAGCCAACCCCAGTGGCCCATCCCAGAGTTGGGAGCTCCCAACTCTGACTCTGGGAGGGAGAATGGCTGCACCCACAGAGGATGGTGGCACTGGGTGTGTCCTGCCTGGTGGTCCCCAAACCCCTCTGAAGCTCCAGACCCTGCCCTGTGGTTCCCAAATCCCTCTCAGCTCCTGGCTCTCTCCTATCCCTGCCATGTGGTGCCCAAACCCCTCAGCAGTTCCTGACCCCATCCTGTGGTGCCCAAATCCCTCTTCTGCAGCTCTTGGCTCTCCCCTATCCCTGCCCTGTGGTGCCCAAATCCCTGTGCAGTTCCCTCTCCCTGCCCTGTGGCTCCCAAATCCCTGTGCAGCTCCCGGCTCTCTCCTATCCCTGCCCTGTGGTGTCCAAACCCCTCAGCAGTTCCTGACCCCTGTCCTGTGGTGCCCAAATCCCTCTGCAGCCCCTGGTTCCTCCCTATCCCTGCCCTGTGGCTCCCAAATCCCTGTGCAGCTCCAGCCCCTGCCCTGTGGTTCCCAGATCCCTGTACAGATCCCAGCTCTCTCCTATCCCTGCCCTGTGGTGCCCAAATCCCTCTGCAGCCCCTGGTTCCTCCCTATCCCTGCTCTGTGGTTCCCAAATCCCTCTGCAGCTCCAGCCCCTGCCCTGTGGTGCCTAAATCCCTGCAGTTCCCTCTCCCTGCCCTGTGGTGCCCAAACCCCTGCGCAGCTCCTGGCTGCAGCCCTGGCTCTGGGCTTAGCAGAGCTGCTGCAGGGATTCTTTGCTAATATTAACGTGGCACGTAGGGACCATGCCAGGGGCAGGAGGGGGCAGGCAGTTCTTAAAGAGCCCCTGCAAGCAGCTGCTGCTGGTGGCACCGAGGTGACACTGGGGACAAGCCTGAGGTCCCCAGAGGGTCACCGAGGGCTGCTCCATCCAAGCTGGGCGTCCCTCCCTTCCCAAGGACCCGGTGGAGACAACTCTGGACATGGGTGGGAAGGATTCACCAGAACCCTCAGCCCTCGCAGCCAGCCTGGGAGAGCCCAAATCTCAGAGATGAGGCTCTGAAGCTGCAGGCCCCATGGGAAAGGGAAGCATGGGTGGGAAGAGGGACTTGGGAAAGCAGTGGTGGGAATGAGATCTCAGAGTCTGGACACTCACTTTCTGCTGAGGAGGAATAAAATCTCAGCTCTGCCAGCGCCATCATTTCCAGCCTCTGAGAGGCAGGAATAGCTCCCAGGTGTCTTCCTCAGGGATTTTACTCCCTGTTCACCCACCTCCCTCAGGGCACAGCGGCCTGGGGCTGGATCTGCTGCACCCCCAGCCTGGACTCACCCGGGCTGGGAGGTGTTTGTGGGTGTGGGGAGAAGGGACAGGCAGGAACCACTCTCCAAAACCAGCACAGGGTTCTGCAGGATGCTGGCGTGGACAGGGACGGCACCTGGAGTCTCCAACATCCATTTGTGGGGACATCAGAGGGCAAAGAGGCTCGAGGGGGACACTTGCCTACGTCACTTGTCCCCAGGTCGGTGGACGCTGACTTCAGGGCCTGTCTCTTGCTCCGGTTGCCGTGTTTCATTCCAGTCTGCCCCTTGGAGGAGAAGAAGGGCACCGTGTCACCTCAGGGGACACTGTGGCTTCACGGTGCCCACACAGGGGCTGGGGAAGGGAGGTCTGGCCATACTTTACCTGGTGTCCTGTGTAGCTGGGCTGGTTGTGGAGCAGCGGCGGGGGACACAGGGACAGGTTGTACTGCAGAGGTTGGCCCAGCAGTGAGTACCTCCCATCGCCTGCACAGGGAAGCTGAGTTTGTGGGGATCCCAGGAAACATCACGGCATTCCCAGCCCTGGGCTGTGCCCTCAGGCCTTCTTCCCCTTACCTTGTGCCGGGCCCATGGGCCGGGGGAACTGCGTGAGGACGGGGAGGGGGCTCAGCCCCGTGCACACACTGTTGAGGTTGGTGACGGGCGACGGCGTCGGGGACTGGGTGGGGGACGTGATGGGGCTGTTCAGCTGGGTGCTGGCCTGGGGGAGGGACAGTGTCAGACACCCCAAATGCTTGTGACCGCTCCCATGCCCACCCTGACCCCGCGGGGTGACCCCCCAGCCATCACCCCCAAGGCTGAGCTGCCTCCTCCCGGTCCCTCCCAGTCCTCCCAGTACCTGAGCACTGGTGTCGGGGTTGTAGAGGTCTCCTGGCTTCTGCCCCCGCTGCTCCAGGCTGTAGTACTTACAGTGGCTCCACTGCACCACGGGGGGGTTTTGGGGGGCCTGGGGGCCGTTGGGGACATTCAGCTGC